TTTACACACTATATTATAGATACACTTATTTTTTACTTCCTTGTACGAAGTAAAAAGGAAGTATTGTAATCGCGAAAAGTTTCAGGCGGCATATTTCAAAGAAAATATCCATTTTGACTGCTATCGAATGGAATTTAACGATGTTTTTATGTGACATCTGTATGTAAGGACAGAATAAACGACTCTTTTCCTCCAAAAAAATTATAAAACTGCTTTAAAATGAATTCTGAAGAGAATTTTTCGTGGCGTCTGTATGAATGTATGTATATACGTATCTTGCATAAAAATTGAGTAGCCTCAGAACGTTGAAATTTTATATATAGGACTGCTATAACACATAAATGTGCACCTCGTATTTTGGTTGCAATCGGCCGCACCAAACATATATAAATATATTTATATATATATCCACTCTGTTACCCAGCTCAGTGATCTCTGTTTCTTTACTCTTATACGTTTGTAATTTGTACATTTTTTGCTTTAAAAATGATTGAATTATGTTGTTCTTATTTTCCGGTTAAGGTTTTATGCCTTTAGTAAATCTGTATGCAATATTTTTTAGAATTATTAACAATTTTAAAGTTGTTTAAGTGCCGCTAACCCTAATAATTTTTTTTACGGCGGCCATTACTTGTTTACATTTGGAACAGCAGAATAATGAAATTGTTGCCAATCTAGAGAAACTTAGCTTCACAACAACAAAGATAACGCCTTCATTTATTATTGCGAATTAAATCATGCTTAATCCTTTCTGGAATTTTTTCGAGGAAATAAGTGTTCAAGATTTACTTCGTAATTTTTAATACAGACATTTTGAGTTTTTATGTATTTTTGCCTTGTCGTGAAGTGAGAACTGAATTAATTGAATGAGAAATACTCAATCATCTGTGAAAAACTGTTTCTTTTTTGTTTTGTTTGCTTATTTTCTTTTATACATCATTCTAGCTTTATTATAGTATTTGAATAGAACATGTGGCAACAATTAGATAATTCTTTAAATGATATAAATGTTGTGCATTCTGAGTTATAATATGAATGAAATATAATACTGTTAAGTGAACCTAGCGCCAGAGTGTCGCTATGGTAAACACATATAGTGAATTTTAAAGAGTGCATTTATTCTATTTGTGGTTTATGCCCTATCAATAAAGTAGATTTAATTCCATCCAATAAGTTTAAATGAAATGCAAGAAAAAAATGCGTATAATTTAATATCCCGTACAAGGAAGTCATGTGGTGTACACATCAGATTTTTTTAAAGTAGGATGTTTATTAAAAGGACCCTCCAGTAACATTTGTCAGCACCAAGAGGCAGTGAGGAAGGGCTTTATGCAACTTCAAGAAATAACCTTTCTTCTTTCTCTCTTTCTTTCTTTTAAAGTAGGTTAGCAGAAGTCTACTGAAACTTCAGGAGTAATTCAGTGTTATGGTTTGGATTTTGGAACAAGATTACTTCACAGTGCTGTTGCTCTGGCAGATTTCTAATTTATACACTATTATCTGAAACCCTATATAGCATTAACGGCAAAAATTTGACGAACATTATGAATTCACATTCCTTCTTTGCAAGTCTGGAAATTTCAGAAAAGCCTGATGTAAATGCTGAAATAGTCTGCATCAAGTGGGAAAGTTAACCAAATGGGTACCGCATGAACCAACAAAAAGCAAGAAACTTCAAAAGCTCTCCATCTGTTCATCATACAACTCACAATTTTTCTGAATTAACTACTGACAGGTTCAATACAACAGCAGCAAGATGTCATATCATTAGCTGTTACTAAATGATTCCATTCTCCTCACTACAAAGCCTCTACTCAATCTTGAGGCATTTAATCTCATCAACAATGGCTTGCACCACAAGTTACTTCCTCAAGGCCAAACCATTACAAATGACATCTACATTTGGTAATCTGAATGTAGATTCTTTCCCTGCATCAGAAACAGCCAGAACTATTAAACAGGAAAAAGATTCTGGTCTTGCAGGATAATAAAAAATCAGAGTATAAAATATTCCATGATCCATCACTATAGAATGAAACTTACTCCCACATGTGTTTTCTTGGACATCTAACGAACTGATTCCTATTTATTTTATACTTAAATTCCATGATAAACATAAACAACATGCATAGGTTATTCGGTTTAATTATGGCAAAACAGGTGAAGTTACTTGCCTCACAAGAGGGATGCTTTCATGGAGGACTTTTTAAAGGATGGCTCTTACCCAAATTAGGGAAAAAACATGAATGAAAAACCATGATTTTCCTCTAACTTGGATGCAGCAAGCCTATTGGTCAAGATCTGAAATCAAGGCAGTAGGCACAGAAGACAGTTCTATGATGACACATACAAAAAATCAGTGGTAGCTGGATTTTTCACATCTAAAGACAGAACATGTTACACAGATGGTCTCCATGATGGTAACCATGACCCTGATTAAGATAATCAACTTTTGTAAAAGGGATATTTTGACTAATTAATATCTTTTCGCCATACATTAAATTAACCTGAAAGCTTCACTCCCCAAAAATGCAAACACATTTTGTTAATTGACATTTACTCTTATATCAACCATTACAGATAATTGTCAGACATATCATATCACTTTTAGCTTCAAGCTTAAATAGAATTCGATTATTTATACTTATAGTAAAACATTCCAGGGTTATCTGCCAATGAAGAAGGATGCTGCTGTACAAGACTTCTAAGGGAAACTGTCTCATATTCATGTTACAAATAGGGAAAACCAGTGAAACTAATCCGCAGCTAGCCCATACACTGGGATTTGAAATGCTTGTTCAACAATTTTACCACTTGATCACTGGTAGGCTCCACTGGAACATACGTACAGGGTGTCTATAATAAGGACCCTAGTTCAAAGCTGCCTACAAGCAAAACCACTGATCAGATAATGGTGAAATTTTGTGGCAGACGTAATGAAGGGATGGGAATTTCTTTTAGTGGATAAAAAATTAGTTACAAATATTGCCAGTAGAGGATGCTTTACTCTGAAAACCTGCAGTAAAAATGCAAATCTTTGTGGTCATCATGCAGCAGCTGCTATAGAACCTAGAAAAATTTTTCAAATACTTTGATTTCAATGTGCTTCTTGCTCAATATGACAATAAGTTTATGAGATTGCGCTTTGTTAATAAAATTCTTTTACCAAAAACAGTAATTCCGCAGTAGCTGCTCTATGGAAATTTTGGACTTGGGAAAGGATTCTAAGAGATCCAATGAATATGAAAAATCCTTCAGAAAATTAATACAAAATTTGAAGAAAGAGGAAAGTTTCCTGTTTGCCCTGTAAGAAGAAGAAAACCTGTTTCTACAGAGCAGTGCAAGAGGTTGCGTTTCAGATCATAGAGGACACAGCTTAAAACTTTCAGGTTAGCATCAGGGTCCAGTGTATAGCAGAGGCGCTGGATACACCACGTTTAACTGTCCACAAGATCTTGCAGAATATCCTCTGATATTATCCTTGCAAACTTTTACTAGTGCATCGGTTGCTTCCACATGATTTTGACTCTCGTCACTGGTTCTCACTTGTTTCTTGCTTGCTTTGAGGTCAATTCAGAATGGCCTTGGCATATCCTCTGGACAGACAAAGTGCATTTTCATTTGGATGGTGCACTGAATCACTGGTAGGCTACTAAATTTGGGAATCAGAAAATTTATGCTATGCATCGCTGTTAGAGAAAGAAATTTTGCAAGCGCATTAGTGCATAGCATACATTATCTTTATGCAATATAAAGCTCGTCCACACATTGCGTAGTGTGTTATGAACATTCTCAAAATTCACTTTACAGAGCAACGTGTCATTAGCGAGCACTTTTGTGATGTGTAGCCTCCCTGATCCCCAGACATCAATCCATATGATTTTTGGCTTTGGGGACATTTGAAACAACTGGTAAATCATGAAAGTCCAAGAATGTTACCTGATCTTGAAGCCAGAATTGCACACCATGTGCTGAACATTTCCCAGCACACACTTTGGTCAACTGTGGAACATGCCATCTTGCGATTTCAGATGGCAGCTGAAAATAATAGCCATCATGTGAAACTTTTTGCTTTGTAACAAAATTTGTAGAACTGTAAAACTATTGTAAAGTATGGCTAAATGTATAATTTATTAATATTATACCCTCTGGAGACACTATTTATACCTAATTTTTCTTTGGCTGAAAGTCTGCCACAAAATTTCACAATTTTTCTGATCACTGGTTTCGCTTGTAGGCCGCCTTTGAAATAGGGTTCTTTAATTATAGACACCCTGTACATTCATTTATCTCTGTTCACTCCCAAATTAGATGTCAGTTTTCAATATAATTTTAAAACATTCTTTTGACCTACTCGAATTAATTTATCTTCTTGAGATTTCAAAGCTAGCTGTCATAAATTGAGAATTAATCATTTATAGATTTTGAATAAAGTTACGTGAAGAATTCTGCTATGAGTATGCACACAAAAATTTTAGTTAAACCTCACAAAACCATCCATGGTTTTCAGAATTCACCAATAAAGACCTGTATTTAAATAATATTTGATCAGATAGATTGGTATTATTTAATTTACTGTTTTCATAATTTTAATTTCTTATAATAGTATTTAATGCATTCAAGAATTTAAATAAGGTGTTAATATAGACTATGAGGCAGAAATTCACATAACTGGATAAAACGGATACAATACTTTACAGGTTTAAAGGGAATCTTATTAGCTTTTCAGTAATGTGCAACATTATTTTCTTTTTACTACTTTAATCATATAATAAGATTCAATTGGTAATAGATTAGACGGAATAATTTCAGTTAAAAAGAAAATCTTTCTAGCTTTTTTATAATATACTATGCTAATTGCTTTTTATGACTTCTGCAATAGCATGTAGCTTCAAATGAATTATGTGAAAAAAATAGCACTAAATAGCAGACAGATAACACTTTATAACAAATTCCTTTTTATTGAACAAAATTGCAACTTAGTAAAAGAATAAGCTTACTTGAGGTAACATTCCATCTAATGCAGGCTCTTCAGTTAAGGGACTACATGGAGATTTTGGGCTGAAAAAATTAAATAATTTTATCACAGCTTACTTTAAAATGCAAAGAAAAGGATGTAAATTTAAGTCTTCTGTAAGAAAATTTTAAACACAAATATCTTTAGAAAACAGTTTATTTTCACACTTAATTAAAAATTAATTTTGAAAGCAAAGTATCATTATAAATGAGATTTAAAGTAAAACTTTACTATATTTTATAACAATATTTAACTACACATGATAACACATTTATATTTTTAAATACACATGCTGTTTTTAACTTGTAAGCCAAGTTGAATTTGCAAAAATTACAAAGTTGTACTATTCATAATTGCAAAAAATTGAAGTAACTTGATAATCAATAATAACTTGAAATTCTGCAAATCATAATAGCCTAAATCTGAACATTCTATATCCAGAACTATTTAAATCCAGATAATCAGCAACCTTTTTTTAAAAAAATTTTTTTGTTAAACACTTTAACGCCTGTGCATTTCATATTTTTTCATAATAAAAGACATGGAAAATTCTTATTCTTAATTTCACTTCTGCACGGACGTCAGCCTAGTGAATCATTATTTATTTTTTGCTTTCCTTAATGCATGACTATCACACTGCAGCTTGAGAAATGAATCATGCATCTATGACTAAACCCTTTTTTTTTTAAAGTTTTAATATTAATAATTAAATAGCAAAGTGCATGTAACACTTTAAGCTAACATTTAGCTAGCTGATGTTTACAGACTTCAGCTAACTCCACTGCAAACAAGGAGATATATCTTTCCATAGGCAAAAACTATATTTTTTTAAATGAAATTCATAGGCTAAAAGATTACATTTTGTGCTGCTTGAATTTAGAATAAGTGATTTGTAATTCAATTAAAGCCAGGAATGGTGGTGCTATGGCTGGCGCTACTGCACTGGGCTACAGAATTTAGAGGAGGCAAATTTTTTTGAATTTACAGAAGTAATGAGCAACAAAATTCAGGGATGGCAAAATCTTTAAGAAAGGCACTGGGAATGCAAAATTTTTAGAATACAGGAAAAGCAGAGACTGCACTGGGCCACAAAATATCTAGCACTAGCTCTAGATAAGCCTCACATATAAATGTGAGAATTTTTTTAATTTATGACTCGATAAGTCTTAAGATATATAGGAAAGTGATAAGTATAATAAACAATTAAACTAATATAATTCAAGCTTAACACCATCCATGGGCTTTGGACACAAGACAAAATTTAGACTGTTAACATGTCTTTAGTTATGAATTTTATGATACATCACCAAAAGAGTATTGTAGACACTATTTAATTTTTATGATGATAGCTGCAAATTTGAAGCTTTTCAGATAATGCAAACAAAAAATGAAATTTCCAATTATTGGAATTAGTAAAGAAATGTGGAAAAATAGTAATAAATTAAGACAACATTTTATTGCGCTGACCATACTCCACTCATCAACCAACTAACAGATGGCAAAATCTGTAGTATGATTCTAAATCCAGAAAATACTGCTATCATTAGTGAAGAAAGTGACAAAGAGATTGTTGAGCATGAAAAAATTTTGATTAATAATTTAGTGGGAATTCTTGATATAGCAATTTCAGGACTTGAACAATGGACCTCTGTAATCAAAAAAGGTGTGGTGTATTTAATTATGGCAAAGCACACTAGGGCTATCTGCCTAGATTGTAATTGAAAAAGAATGTTTGTACATAAAATTAAAGAGAAAATATTAGCACACAAAAATTGAGTGAATTAAACAACTTCCATTGAAAGAAATGTTCAATGAAGCAAACAAATAAATATTCAACTTCCTCCCCCTCCCCCCATTAATTCTGATTTCCTTAAGGTCATAAAAATACCATTTCATATTTCGAATTCTTCAGTTTCTACAAATCATCTCACTTGGTTTAAACTGATAATCCAATATCTGGAAAAATCCAAATCTGGACTCACCCATCCCATGAGTCCAGTTCCTAAACTTTGTACCATATATGCAAATAGTCACAATAATGCTGCCTTTAATTTATCAGTCAACTGCAAATACCCATGCATATATATATATTTTTTTCCAGTTGACAAGGTAAGCAGACTGTACTCAACATGTTTGATAGAACTGAATATGCATTAGCAAAATGTTAAGAATGCGGAATTTAATCTTTAACCACTAGCCTGATTATCCCGAGTTATCTCGGGTTCGTATATATTGCAGTTAATTATTATCCCGAGAAAACTCGGGCGAAGCAGAATTTGTTAGTAGGATTTCTTTTATCACGGTTTTACTCGGTCTGGAGGAAATGAAAGGAAATATTTAGCTTTGATTGGCAGTTTGCCAAATTTTGTTGGTTGCGCGGTTCTTTTGGAGGGACTGGTTGCGTGTTTCCGTATTGTATAGTCTACGTTGGCTTGTGGATTAGTAATGTATAAAGAAGGATGCATGCGTTGGAAAAAATAAAATAATGGTGATGATGGAAGATAGCGAAAGCGATGATTTTTCAGATAGTGATTATGAAAAGGTTGGGGAAAAAAATTTAAAAAAAAAAAAAAAAAAAAAATCAAATCCAATGAGACAGCGTACTTAGTGCTCCCGTGAAAGAGATTCCAGCGGTTAGCCAGTAAGAAAAGAGACCAGATACCAGTGCAGAATGTCAGGTATCACTCTGTGTTGTCCCTTGTTTCAAAATCTATCATACAAAGATTAATATTTAACTTTTTTTCGTTTGCCCGAGATAACTCGGGATAGTAAACCAATATTAAAAATAAATGCTTTTACACCTTCAAAAAATTAAAAATTCAACTTAAAATCTACATATTTTGATTTGTTTCGTTTTGCTGTATTTAATAATAAAATAAAAAAATGTGATGATTTTTTGCAATTTTTTTCAAAAAAATTTGTACGGGAAGCGGTTAATACGGGAATCTGAATACTATGTGCAGAAACAAATAATTTTCAAAAACACGTAAAACAACTTTCTATGATAATTAATTCTTTTAAATAACATACTCAGATATAAAGCAAGCATCAATATATTAAATATAAAAAAAAAAAAAAAAACTTTACACCTTATGCCAGTATAGTAAACTAAGAGGATATTTGAATTTCCCATATAATACAACAGAACCAATTTACAAGATCTGGAACTAACATATTTTCAGAATAAAAAAATATTTTATCTGGTCCATGTTTATTATTTAATAAACTAATATTCATCCTACTATTCTTTTCTGTTTTTTTCTTAAGACTGTCACATCCAGATAAAATATTAAAGACATCATACAAACACACTATGAATTACATTGGCACTTACTTATTATTCCATCAACCATGAAACTGTTGTGAAGCAGTACAATTTAGTGTGAATTACGGATAAGTGCAATGTCTCAACACACTCATAGCATCTGCACTTTTCGTCTGACGTAACCCAAACTGATTCGTAATAAACTACCTTTTGCTTTTACGAAAAAATATATAAATTAACTCTTATTGCTATATTTTTTCCCTTTTATTTTTGGAGAAAAAGAAACTGAGAGCTCTATAATCACATTTGTGCTTACACTCCTGTTTATTTTCAGCTAGTCGAGAGAATTAGCAACTGTTGAATAGTGAAAAGAAGAGCTTGCTATGGCCAACAAAATGGCAACACATTAGAACAGTCACTTGCAAGAAGTTTGTACTCACAGAATTCTAAACAGTGCTTCTAGTAAAATAAGACAGCATAAGGAAATAGCAGAAATCAATAAAACCTTTTTACCCCCAGAAAAAAAGATCGAATACCTATATACTAGTGGATATTTGGTTGATAGTCTAGAGAGATAGACATATGTTTTATAGAAGGAATTGCAAATGGAAGTATAGCTTAGAATTCAACAGGAACATCTGGCATACTGCTGGTGGGATTTCTGCAAACTTTAAAGTCTCGATGATAGGCAACTTTCACGGTCAACGTGATAATGTATAAGTACCATTATTTAAATTAAAAGATTCATTAATTATTTTTAATTTTGACAGCAACAGCTGGGAAGAATTTTAAAAAGAATATTAAATCTAAAATTTTTTGGAGATATAAATTTTAACCTTTCTCTGTGGGAGGATATACAACTACCAACTAGAGATGAATGACAACTTTCACGCTGAGCTTCCCATAAGAGTTTCTCCAACTTTCCACTATTGATCAAAGAGGAAATAGGTGTAGAACGCTTCTGGCCACCGTCAGAGCCACGACTTAGTTCTCCACTATTGTTCAAATCCACCCAAGAGTCTAAAGAATCATAAAAGTATATTAGCATAAAACACTATATGAATAATCCTGTAATATTAAAATAATAAAAATATGCATAATCATTCATAAAACTGTCAAACACCAAATAACACATTAGAGAAGTCTTAAGTCTATTGAAATTAGTCAACCACTTTAAAAATTTTGGTACTTGTTAGTCATACTGATTCCAAAAGTAAATTCTCTTGTCAAGGTTAATTCTGTAAATGACTACTCACTTCCACTTCTATGAAGTTAAGTATGGCAGTAATCTGGATGATTCATTTTCTTTTTGGCAGGTACCGCTTAGTTAGCACCAACAATATAGTTTGAATGTTAGGAAAAAATTAATATTTCATAGAATAACATATGCGTCATCCGCCATGTTAATTTCATCTCTAGCTTTTGTACCCGATTCACTTCACTTCCGAGATCCAGCAAAAGATTACTTCTTATGTTATTGTTTTATAATATGAACATTTAAAATATAACCGCAACAGAAAAGCAAACATTTACAGGAATTTTATGGTAATTTTTTGCATATGCGATATGTCCCAGATCAGAGTAACTAACACATACTAATTATTTTTAAGAGCAGGAAGAAAGAAATCAAAAGATTTCACGTGAAACTTTCTGCAAAAGATTATGATTCAATATCAAAGAATAAAAATTCAGGGTACTCCTTGGTGAAAATCTGTGAATTTTTGGCACCATACCTGTTTACGTCCAAAGCCCTCCCCAATAAAATGGTATCCAAAACATAATTAAAAAATATATATATATATAATCTCAATAAAAAATTTCTGTTTCATCGGTATGCGAGACATACGGATATCTAAACTAGAATCTGTATATTGTCATTACCATATAAATTCACAAAAGTAAAAATGAAAAACATTTTCCATACTGCCGGTCTGTTGATCACATTTCTTTCGAAAATCCCTTTTCATTACACCCCACATACCTCCCATAGTGTTGATATGAGCTCCGGTTCCAAAATCTTTAAATCTCACTGCGTAATTTACCGAGAGGTGAATGAAGCCATTTAAATCTTCATTCCCACTCCAATCAATCAATGTTTTCTTTATTTATTGATTGATTGATTTCTTTATTGATTGATTTCAGTCGTTCTAAAGTGCACAGAAACTTCAGGTTAATGGTACCACCAGCAGGCATTTTACGATGTAAAGCCCAAAATAAGCAACGTACTTCCTAACCAACATCCAACACATAAATAAGCCCATACAAATATTTTCCCATCAGAACATCATACAAATATTTTCCATTTATTTCTATTTTCTGCACCTTTAAAATAGCATAGCACTGTTTAGATACAAGTTTCGTGGAAATTATCTGGTAAAAAATACTTCAAGAAGAAAATCCGAACAGGATGTATTTCACACCAGACACAGTTGTTTTAATGGTGATAATGAACAGGGTTGCCACCCAAACAGAATGAAATTCCCTGACTTTTCCAGGTGTGCTTTAAGAAAATTCCACTTTATTCGCGTAATGCACGTTGGTTGTGCTAAGAAGTAAATTAATTATGGTATTAATTAAAAACACAAAAATTTGCCACCCAAATCATTACTATTATAACGCATTCGATCAGAAAGAGTACCTGGTTTGAAAAAAGTCATTTGAGTATGACTGATAGTTTGATTTTTACATGGCTCTGGGTGTACTAAGTGAACTCAAAACTCATGGTAAGTGAATATTTGCTTTTGGTAGTGCTTAAATGTGTAACATGTTTTTCCTTTTTTATGTTATTTTATTGTTTGGTTCAAAATGCATTTTACTGAGATTATGTATTTTTTGTTTGCCTATATTGTAGAATTTGGTGCTCCTTTGACTTTTTAAGTGAAAATATATCGAAGTGTACATGGGCAAAGCAATGCAAGTTTGTGCAATTCTGGGATTTTTTTTAAGTGAAAACAGGTCGACGTGTACATGGACAAAGTTAAAAGAGTGCGCAATGCCATTTTTGTGCAATTCGGGGATTTTTTTTTTTAAGTGAAAATAGGTCAACGTGTACATGGATAAAGTCAAAGGAGCGCACAATGCCATTTTTGTGCACTTCGGGTTTTTTTTTTTTTTAAGTGAAAATAAGTCGATGTGTACATGGATACCGAGTTTGTGCAATTGTTTGTCTTGTTATTTTGGCTTTGTGTAGTGGCGATTTTTGGCGTAAAAATCACCGCTTCGCAAGCCAAAATAACGAGTCAAAGAATTGCACAAAATCGGTATCCATGTACTGCCAAAAATCGCCAAATTTTGCCAAGGGGTACCCTAAACTATACTTTTACCAATGTTCTTCGACTAAACATTTCTTCTTTGACTTTTCGTAATAATTTAAACACAGATGTTCGTAGTGTTTTCCCCTTTTTTTATCTGACTAATTCATTAATTAATTTACTTACATGAGAAAATATTTTCTTTTCCTTTAAAGTTCAAAGAAATGTTAAACAATATTCATTTTATGAACTCTTGATAATGTCCTTCGAACTTCACCGGCTTCGAGCTTTCGCGACAGATATTTCGCGCATGCGCAGCTGTTTCCCTCTACGTTGGAATGCAGTCACTCCAATTGTGGAGTTTTCCGTCTTAATAATACATGTTCTTTGATTCTAACCTCCATAGTACCGTATACTAGGTTTAAACCGATATTCTTTCAAATGAGAATAAGCATTTTGTTTAGTTCAATATGCACTGCACATGGGATTCTCAAGGTTACTGGAAACTTGCTTTGCCTTTCTAAAAGACAATCTAAATAGAGCTGCAAAAATTGGCTCTATGCCAGCTGTCCGAATGACGTTCACACAATACACAATTTGCCAAGAAATTGATAGCTTTCAACATCGGCGAAAATCTCGCTTTTTTCGGGGGATCACCGTATGAAATTCCCAGACTTTTCCCTGAATTTTTTGGTTAAATTTCGAATTCCGTGACTTTTCCCGGTAGCGTGGCAACCCTGCAAGGATGTCTTATTTGTCACCAAGAAAATATAATCAGAGGTTACTCAAAAGTATCAAATATTCTTGCTGTTATTTCTTTTTCTATACTCCCTTCCCAATTCTCAGTATGCGCTCTGTGAATAAACACCATCTGTAAACTTAATTATTATATACAAACTAAATTATATAAAGGTTGCATATAACATTTTACACTATGCCATGATTTGTTAAGCAACATGTGGCTGAGCTGGGTTAATCATGGAAAAGCCCTCAAGAACTGTTCAGATATGAAAAGAGATGTTTTTATGAAATATTTCTTGCAAGAAGGAAGAAGTTCATTTTATATTACATATCGCAGTACAGAAAAATTATACAAAACATTCCTTCAATTAGCTTACTCAGTCATGAAAATCAAACATTCTTAGCTGAAGTTTCTTAGAAAATGGCAATTACCAACATCAAAATGCAATAAATGGATAAGATAAAAACTTTTCGGCTCTAGTGCAGAATTGGGTGCCCCTTCAATTTGCGACAATTTTTAAAAAAGATTTTGGCGATGAAACCTCACTTCTAGTTAACATGATAGTTTTAACTTTTAGCTTCCTGATTTTATTTAAATGAAAATAGATTGATGTGTACATGGAAAAATTTAAGGCAGTGCGCAATGCCTAGTTTGTGCAATTCTAGGATGTTTTTTCAAGTGAAAGCAGATAGATATGTACATGGACACAGAGTTTGTGCAATTCTTTGACTTCTTATTTTGATTTTGTGTAGCGGCCATCTTGAAATTGTGCCTTCCTGGCGCGGATCTTGGCGTCAAAAAAGAATTGCCAAAAAAAACAAGGGGCACCCAATTGTAAACTTTTACCAAATTTTCCAAGCAAAGACCCCCCCCTCCACTCAAACGATTAAGTTCTTAACAAAGATTATACAGATGAATAAAATATAAAAACATATGAGGTCAAATATACAACTATTACAGTATTACTTGGTATGTGCGTAAAGGGAAGGCGGTCTCTAAAACATACTTCAAGGTCGCTGTCAATACGCAAATAATGATAGATAGCTGCTATATGATGATAGGGGGGAAATGAAGGATTTATCGTTAAATGTAAAGATATACTATAACTGCCACTCCCCATTTCAGATCATCCGATAAATATTAATGTATTTTATTGCTAAAAAGTATTGTATTTTAAAATACATGAGCAGTAAAATACGTTCATCAATATATTGCGATTTCTTGAGCATTTAAAAAAGAATACATAACCCTGAAATTCAGCATGGCTGTCACTACTCATATCATCTGCTAAAGGAATCTGACAGGCTGCTTTATGTAAACAAGATACTGCGTTGACACTATCTTATAAAAATCATCGTGCACTGGTAAGCATTATTAAAAGACTAAGACCCGTTACTAATAAACTGCATTACCATTAAGGTTTTCTTCATCCAAGCTCTTGACTGAATGAGCCATTCTTGTCAAAAAGGTATTAATTAGAAAATTCAGTGTTGATTACCTATACATAACACATAACACGCCATTCAATGACATTTCTAAACACGTCATAAACACGTGACCAAACAATCATTCTAGAAAACTGTTCTTCTTCGTTGATACCGAAATATTTACACTTTCTGAAGATAGGTAGAATGAATAATAGCGAATGTGAACCGTAAATAAAGAACTAGTGACCATAAATTTACAAAACTGACAGCAAAACTTATAAAATTCTGCATGTCTATTAGAATAAAATGATATATATTTTTTTTTTTTTGGTATGACAGCTTCTCAAGGTAGTTGTTTACTTCTATTAGATAGCCAACTTAAGTTCATATGCTCATGATTTTGTTTTGGATATTTATTCTTTAAGTTTCCAGATTCAAATTATCCTGAAAAGCAGTATCCTGAACATCTCAAGGATCAAGGATCAAGGAAGTTAATTTACGGAGTGCGCTAGGCTTCACATCATCAGAGATAAAATAATTACATCAAAAGAGGGGTTCATCTAATACCGGAAAAATGTAGAAGCCTAATTTATAAAAATAAAAGCTTTTCAGATAATGCTTTCCGCATGAGGAAAAAAAGTAAAAACTCATAGAAGGTCTTTTTATTTAAATTTCCTGTCTAAAAAGCGCTAGAATTCAATTTGGAGCGCTGTCATCATTCATAAGATTTGGAATAGAAATAAAAGGTGCAAAATATTTCCTTGATTCTTGATATAAACAATAAAATAAACATCCTAAGAACAAGCAGCCCGGATGAAAAGAGCTAGCGCAAGTTCATCGAAATTGCACCCACTCAAGGTAGCTGGGTGGAATAGGCGGGGGGGGGGACCCGTTAGGCGGGTTCTAGAAGCAGCTGATGGAGCAGAAGAAATTTTGGTCCCTATTCAACGCGACGTTTAAAGGTCAGATAAGAAAAGCCCTTAGGGGGTCGAAGCAACCCGTTTAGCGGGTGAAAGGAAACTTTTAAGAAGCAGTTAAGACTAAAGTGCAGTCGCGTGCGGGTGCAGAGCCAAAGTTGTCCCTTGTTAAAGAGACGTTAAAAGACTCTTTTTCAAAGAGTTAAAGAACAGGGTTCCTCCGGTCAATGCCCTTACGCATTGTTAACGTGGAGGAGGTTGGGGTTCAGGAACATGAGATAGGTATCAACTTGGGCGTCCGTATGTACATACCGGCGCCGTTTAAATGGCAACTGAGCATAATCAGGTTGTGAAATAGCTCTGGGTTGCTTTTTTAAAGAGGCAATTGCGGGATCGTATACCGGCAAGGTATGTAATAATGGATTTCAAGAAGATGGATTTTTTTGAAAATTCTTTCCGAAAGTCGCTGTATAAAGCGATTAATGGGCATAATTTTGAGATCGTTATGAATGTCATCGCTCCTTACGAACCATGGAGAGTTTAATATCTGCAGTAAAAATTTAGATTGAAAAATTTGGACGTGTTTACGGTTAGTCAGAGCAGCTGAGCCCCAGATGGGACTCGCGTAAGTAAGAATAAGCCTTATTATTGATTTATAAACCAAGATCTTGTTGTCAAGTGACAGGTCGCTAATTTCAGGTTGGCTTTGGCAGGGTGCAGGTTGGCTTTGGCAGCTTTCGCATTCGCAATGATTTTTTGAATGTGAAGTTGCCATGTTAATTTTGAGTTTAGTAAAACACCAAGGTATTTGTATGAAGTAACCAGATTTTTTGAATGTGAAGTTGCCATGTTAATTTTGAGTCAAGTAAAACACAAAGGTATTTGTATGAAGTAACCCAGGGAATAGGTTCACTAAAGTATATGAGGTTAAAACGTGGGATATTTCTTCGGATGAATAAAGGGGTAGCACATTTAGCGACATTAATTTTGATTTTATACAGTCCGATCCAGAGTTCTAAGGCTGAAAAGTAACTCTGTAATGTAGAGATTACCGTGGTGATGTTGGTATGTTAAGATGGCCGCATCGTCTGCATATAAAGCTAGATCGATACTAGGTGCCTTAAGCACGTCGTTTATATAGATATTGAAGAGCAGAGGTGAGACAAGACTGCCCTGGGGGCATGCAGCACAGATCGGGCCGGGAGAAAGAATTCGTGGTTAGTTCGCACGCGGAAACTTCATCCGGTCAAGTTAGAATTAATAATTTTAATGAAGTGAGCCGAAAAACCAAGCCGCATGAGCTTGTATATAAGTCCGTCGTGCCAAACTCTGTCAAAGGCTTTGGCCACGTCGAGATAGACGATTCCAGTTTTCTCTCGCTTACGAGCAGCTGAGCTCTCTTCGTGAATGAATTCCACTACACATAATGATTGGTGTACAGTGGAGTGTTTAGATCGAAAGCCGAATTGTTCCGGGATGATCAAATTTCGATCTCGAAAGAATTCATTCAAGCGATTAAGTAAGACAAATTCGTATACTTTGGAGAGTGAAGAAAGCAGACTAATGGGTCTGTAATTGACGGGTAAATTTAAAATTTGCCCCGGTTTTGGAATGAAGACGACCGCTGCAATTTTCCAACGGTCGGGGAAGTAGCTTCTTCTGAGAATAAAATTAATAAGGATAGTGATCCAAACAACAAACATGACGGGGAAATTCTTAATCATGGCGATTAGAGATACAATCTATGCCTGGAGCCTTATTTGGATTTAGTCTTTCGATGTACTCCATCACCTCTTTAGGATCAGTGGGCCTGAGTTCAGGCGTGATAGGTTGTGTTAGAAACTCTTCAACACGTGAATGTATGCGCCCTTGTGTAACCGGACGGTTACAGCAGGAGTCGTTATTTGGAGTGAATTGTGTTCCAAGCCTGTCGGCTAAAACTTCAGCCTTTTCAGTGTTTGCGTAAGCCATCTGTGCGTCATCGGGCGTTTAAAGGGGCGGAATGTTTCTAGATTGTTTGCGTATTCGGGCGGCGGCACGCCAAACCGAATTATCTTCAGTCGTTAAGGGCTCAATTTAGTGTTTCCACTCCGTCTACTTAAAAAGACGGTTTTCAGTCCTTATCTCGTTCTGTATTTTGCGAAGTTGGGCACGGATGCTGGGATCGCACGACATTTGCCGAAGTTTTCACAAAAAGTTTGCTGCTTAATTTTGGATTTAGTCTCAGGTGGGAGTCTGACAAATAGGTTTGGAAGCCGCAGCTCTCGTTTTCTTGGGTATGGACTCCACATTTTGTAAGCACCTGTCAAAGTCCGAATTGCTGGAAATTTTGATAGGGGGTTAGTAGTACGTTCCAATATGAATCTAAAATCGTCCCAATTTGTAGAGACTTCCTCCTGTAATTTTGAGTAACGATTTTGAGCATCTAAGGTAATCAAAACTAGATAGTGATCAGAATCAAGGTCTTGAATCACTTTCATTTCATGCCTAAAATTGACATTATAAAAGGCAGCCAGATCAGGAACTGCAGGGGACCCTCTAACAGGGTAGTAAGTCGGAAGTTTAGGAACTATGACCTACACATGGTTACTCTGGCACCATGAATTTAGACTAATGCCATACCTACTCCTGTTAGGGCAAAACCAAGCGGTATGACGTTAATTTAGATCGCCGGCAATAATTAGGTGATTTGATATTGCTAAAAGTTTATCAAAATCACTGGCAGGAAAAGTACTTCTTCCACGTGTGACTGAAAGTGGAGTAGGTATGCCGAAATGACTGTTAGTGGGGGAGAATTTTGGTGAATAATAATTAGGTGATTTGATATTGCTAAAAGTTTATCAAAATCACTGGCAGGAAAAGTACTTCTTCCACGTGTGACTGAAAGTGGAGTAGGTATGCCGAAATGACTGTTAGTGGGGGAGAATTTTGGAGGGAAATTTTGATAATTGTCGCTTCCAAAATACTTAAATCAGGGGGTATCATGTGATGCTTAATCGAACGCTTCACGTAGATACAGGTGCCACTACTTGCTTGCCTGGCTAATGACACCCTGTCAGTCGAGTACATGTCATAATTCCCAATTTTTGGGAGTTCTCCCTGGGGTTAAGTGAGTCTCTTGGACTAATAACACGTCAAGATCGTGCTCTGCAATAAAGTCTTTGACCTCATCGATCTTATTGATGAGGCCGTTTGCATTCCATGTGCACATGGTAAGTTCTCTGTTGGTAATAGATCTTTGTCTGTTTTGACAATTGAATTTAAGGCCGTTATGAAAACGTTACAGCTCTAAAAATCCTAAGACACGTGTCTAAAGTAGCCGAATAATCGTAATTTGAAAGTATAACATAGCTTTCATAAATTAGGAAGGCCCTCGTAAAAGCGTCTGCCTGTCTAAGCTTTGGCTTGCAGTAGAATATGCCTATCCACCGTTGGGTCGCGGAAGATTTAGATAACGCATTTTAAAGTAGAGGAAAAAACATCCTCAGAGTATCCACTTTCTACTTGAGTAAGCAGGGGGCTACTTGAGGCACATTCACCGTAGCCGCCGGATTTGGGCCCTTGTTTTTGTCCTGACCATGCAAAGAACAGCCAATAAACTAATTACCAATGAATAATTTTAAGAAATTCCAGGAAACACAGTCTGCTCTTTCGAAATAGACTTTACCTAATTAAGCAAAGCGATTGTACCTGAAATGGCCGCTTCAGAACCCGTGCGTCTGTTGTTGTTTATATATATCGATTAAACTTAATAAGCACTACGTTGCTCACACTAGAAAAAAGAGCTCTAA